AGGGCAAACTCATATTTTTGGGGGGCAAGATAGAATTGTTAAATAGGTAGTGCTATTTGCCCATGCCGTTATCATAGGACTTCCACCCTCTAAGAGATTCATTACCCCCCAACATAGGAATATCGCTCCCCTTTAGGATGTTCGCCCCCCCCCCATATATGTGATGTGGTTTATTCAAATTTTGTGATACGTTCATCTTATTAGTGCGTTACTCGTTTGAGAATTTAACTCTGCAAAACTAAAGCATTTTTTGTCTTTTTTGAAACGTATTATTGGAGTATTTGCAAGTTTTACCATTCAGAGGTTTACAAACTAATATTGAAACTGTAAAAACAATATTACAAGCGCATTCACTAATGACTAATGAGTAATGAGAACCTATAAACCATACATTTTCCGATAACGACAAAACGCTTGTGTAGCCTTTAGTCGCTCTCAGTGTCTAATAATTTTTTTTGAGAGAAGGGGGGGGGGGGGTCAAAATGGGGAGGGGGGCAAAAATTAATTGGGGGCATCCCCCTGGCGCCGCCACTGATTACAAGTGAAATTTCACATGTGAAAAATCTCACATGAAATTACAAGTGAAATTTCACATGAGAAATGATTTTATATAAAAGTAAAAAAGTGAAATTTCACATATGAAATATTTCACATGAAGTAAAAAGTGAAATTTCATATGTGAAAGGATTTCACATGAAGTAAAAAGTGAAATTTCACATAAAATCATGCACTGCAAAACATCAAATTCTAGTCTAGAATAATATTCTTATTTTTTAGATTATTTTTCTTATCCCCGAGCCGACGGCGCGAAGCGCCGTGCGAGGGTACTAATTCCCCCCGGCTATTTACACCCGGGGAAGGGAAGCATTAGCGAAGTCTAAAGTTCATCAAATATCGCGGGCGTGGGTCACTGTGCGTGTTTCGGTGGGTGGTCATCCTCACTGATCTCATAATACAGCGGACTGTAATGAATAGCCAACACTGATTGGTCCAATTTAAAATTGGCATTATAACGGCTGCATGACGATTGACGACAGCGAAATTGATTTGATGATTTCTTGCAAATATATTTAATTTTTGCAAGATTTTGTAAATTGCAAAGGATTTTTGAGGCAAAAAGGCAAGAGGATTGCTAAAAGAAGGAAGTAAAGGTGCCGACGTTAACGAAGGTAAGTTTGTTTTAAATATTGATGCATTGTTTGCTTTTAATATACTGTAATCTCGGCTGCAATTACTTTAAAAGCCGATCGTTGCGTATATAAAATATGAAACAAGACAGCGTATTATTTCAGTGTTTCTTTATTGATTACACTTTTTATTATACTAAGCAAAGTTATTTAAATGGGAGAATTTGGAATCATTTTATTTCGAACTCAAAGTTTATCGATAAAGGCAGTTTAGTTCTATATTAAAAGAACACTTTCAAACGTTTTGCGAAGCGTTTGTGGTTGAATTTTACCTTAAATTGAAACTTATATTACGTATAATAACATACCTACTGTAATTACTTTAAAATCCGATCGTTGTGTATAAATATGAAACAAGACAGCGTATTATTTCAGTGTTTCTTTATTGATTACACTTTTTATTATACTAAGCAAAGTTATTTGCATGGGAGAATTTGGAATCATTTTATTTCGAACTCAAAGTTTATCGATAAAAGCAGTTTAGTTCTATAGTAAAAGAACATTTTAAAACGTTTTGCGAAGCGTTTGTGGTTGAATTTTACCTTAAATTCAAGCTTATATTACGTATAATAACATAGCTAACATATATATGTTTAGGAAATTGATAATTTTGTAATTAAAAGTGATATTTATAGGGGATTTTTCATTTGTAAAAATATTCTTAAAAAATTATCGTGTTACCATGACAACTACTTAAAATACTTCACGTTCGGAAAATAAAATGGTTTTGTCAGCAATTAGGCGAGGGTTTCTGCATGCATGTATTTTCTAGTAGTTGTATAAAGTAGAAAGTGCTAAACTCTCAACCTCGTACCCAGGGTCTTACGTGCGAAGGTAAGAGCCTGGGTGCGAGGTTGCCAAACTCTCAAATATATTTTTTGCCGTTCTGTACAAAAAATTTAAAAATAATTATCGGGTTGCCAAGGCTCAATGACATGAGCAAAACGAGCCTGCTATCAGTGTTAATTGGCGTATTTCGGAATAAAAACGATGTGTTGCAGCATGAATGCATATTTGTAGTGGTCATATATAGGTAACCTTCTCATTCCCAAATGACTGTCTTCAAATTTTGTCCTCTTGAACAAATTACAAGTTTTTTTTAATGATTTGAGGAAGTTTGTTTCGGCCTTCGTTGCCCGATCTCGCGTTGCCGTCCTATATGCGCCGCTCCACTCAAGTACAAGAACTAGTGCAGTATTAATTCAATGTACTTCATTCTATTTTAGAATATATTATAGGATTAATGCATGAGTCAATTCCAGGAGTAACCATCCCCCACCCGGGAACACACCCGGGCATTTGATTTGATTGGTTATGATAGTGTAAATGCCCGGGTGCCGGGACACAACTTGAAGACTAATGCACTGCCCCTGGGCAAGCTGAGAGTGGAAAATGCCCCACCCCGGGGACGATTTTACAATCGATTTCACGAAACTTTGACCACAAATGTTCCGAACTTCGTTGCGAAGTTCGCAAGTTCGTTGCGAAGTTCGGAAGCTCATATTAGAATTCACAAGATTTGTAAACAAAGTCCCTGATTTGTCCGTGAAGTAAAAGAAGCCA